ATATGGAGTCTTCCACACAGACAACAACTCTCTGAAAAAACAAAAACAGCATTTCCAACCCTGTGTTCATAGTAATAGCACATGAATCCACTCACATCTCGATTTAGTTTCACGTTCAGTACGGACTTTGTGAACTTATAATCACATATCATATTTTTGCTCTTGAAATGATAAATGTGCATTACACGGGGTTCCTTCTGTGAAACGATCACGACCAGAGACGAGTTGAACAGCCTTTCGACGATAATCGCCTCATGTATGGCTGAAAAGTTTCCATACTTTGGTTAACAGGCTTTCGTTTGATTACTGGTATGTTTCTTCTACTGTCGCCACTTCGGCCATAATTGAAGCTAATAATGAACTACACTTTGAATATGGCGACACTCACAATCAGACATAATATCACACATGTGAAAAGAAAGAAAAGTTATTTCCATAAAAAAACATACCCGCTTACTAAAAAGCTTCAAGGGTAAAAGAAAATTATCCCAAAGTATTGCATAAAAAGCTAAGAGAACATTAGCAAAACCAAGTATCGATTCAGTCTACATAATTGTTTTCAGCACTGTACCACAGTCCTTGTCCAACGGAAACCCTGAGCTTCGTGGTAGTCTAGCGACCCAGAGCGCCAAGATCCATTCAGAAGGGCTGCCACAACCAAATCCCACTGAAGCACACCGCCACGCCCTCCCTATCTCTGCGATATGGTGTGAAAATGTCTCACACGGGCGGCCACTTACCATTAGTCAAATCGCTTGACGTATATAATAGAAATGCAATTATAGTTATAATAATGCTAACCAGAAGAATTATCAGCATCGTCCAACAGAACCGAAGACTCTAGAGCGTCCGATGTCTTGTAGAGAATGTAACCATTAGCATGACCAACAGCCAGTGACCTAAATAAGTCGTAAAAGTAAAAAGAAGGCTACTCCTGGCATACAGTCCTTTAGGTAACCCTATGATGGCTATACCCGCTAGTATCCACTCCTTCAGGTAACCCATAGATGTTTACCTCGATCAAAGAACTCTGAGTCTAAGGCCGCGTTCATACGTTGCGACAGTGAGGAAATGAAGAAGTGAAGAAACCGTGAAGAAGAGTGCATAAGTATCGACCCGTTCCGCAGTTCCTCAGATCGATACGTATATATTCCTCGGCGCAAACGTAGGTGGAGGGGGGGGGCTAAAAAGACTGCCCGACTCGCCCTATACTCCTCTGATATGTTCCTTCAAAAGTGCTGAGGTTTAAACTGCAAACGACCAGAGTCGCCGAGGTATAGCCCTGCAGAA